GGGTCAATTATTTTCATGGCTCTGGCCTGATATATTACAGCTTCACACCTACAGCCCTTTCATGGTTGAGGTCTAGGTGATGTGGAAGTATGGTACAATTTTTCTTCAGTCTCTCTCTAATCCAGTAGGCATTTCAATTCAGCAACACTACTTTCCTCAGTTTTGAAGTGATCCAGCTCATAAGTCTCTCTAGGCTAAATTATCAGACTTTCTAGTTTGACGGGCCTGGCATACACACCTGAGCCTTGGCATGTAATGCCTGCTATGGTGGTGCTCTCTTATTAGAGCCTTTCTTGTCTGCTTTACAAATATAGGGGCAAGCCATGGTTTGGAAATTCAGCTACAGCTGAGCCTTTTAACTCTGCTGCAGCCCTGAGGACCAATGAAGACTTCTCCCCAGTCATGCTAATAGGGGCAGACTTGACTCTCAAAACTAGCTTTAGATTTGAGCCCTGCATTTGTATGAAGTGTCATCCTCTCAGATCTTTCCCGCATTTGTGGGTCTTCCTGCTTACACTGGCAGGAGTAAGAGTGTGATATGTGGCTAGTGACTATAAACTGCCCACCATTTTTATTACCCATAATGTCCCTGCATTAAACTTGTTGCATGTTATAGTACGAAATTTTAAATGGTAGACCCAGATGGAAGCTGCCTATTTATTCTCCCTACATAGCCTTGACTGACACTAGCTCGAGTCATTATGGGATTGTCCCAAACACTAAACATATTTTCAGCTTATTTTCAGGTTAGGTCATATTTTTGGGGAAACAGGGTACTGGTTGATGATGATAACCTAATTGATGTTCATTGAAGGGGATCACCACAAACAGGCAAAAAGTATGGTCTTTCTAGCAATGATGTTTCAATATTAGGATTGCTAGGTAAGGTAAGGTAGTTTTCAAAGGGCATTCCTCTATCTGATCGCCTGTTAGAAGACAGTTCTTCATTTGAAGGTGTTCTTTATTTGAAGGGTTGTCTAGATGAATCCTGGTTTAAAGAGAAGAAACCACAACAAGGGAAAGTAGGGGCCAGGAAATTAACCACCCTCACTAAACTGGGACAAGAGAGTAAGCAAACACACAGGGCACCTGATCACAGCTTTGCATAGCATATATGGCAAGACTGGTTGTGAAAATACACACATCCCCAAGAACCCCAGCAGTATACAGCATCACACAACTCACACACCATAATGATTGGCCTTTGGTAGTTTTAACCAAGCAACACTCACTGATCTTATGTGACAAGTGAAAGTAAAGTTAGGATGTATATGGCTCCATGGGTCATCAAAGTGAAAGGGAAAGATAAGCAAGACCTCCAAGTGCTGGTATACTTTCTGAAAACGGCAGCCCTCAGCCACCTGAAAGAGGAAATTAACAGTGACAGTGTCACCAAGAAGGGCGTGCAACCTATCCACAATGGGTTTACTGTGGCTTTACTGCTCTGAGCTGCTTATCAGCACTCTGGTAAGAAATAAGCAAAGTGAATTGGACTGTGATATGAGGCACAGTTGCTATAGCTAATTCCACATCTGCCTACATCTGTATGCATTTGCGTAAACTGTCACTCTTTCCAAAGTAGAACTCTGGGGTAAAGGACAATTTTTAAAGCACTCACAGTCTTTATGGCATATAAAGACACTGGAGTGAGAAGCGCATGACCCTCCATATGTCTCTATATTACACCAGTCCTAGCTAGTTTCGCCAGTGGAAAGGGAGGAGGGAGTTGCATACCAACAACATCTGGTGGGCTATAGCTCCTCATCCATGGCAGGAGGGAAGAATATCCCTGGTATATTTCACAAAGAGCAACTGAAGGCAACAACAATTTTCTTCTGCTGTTGCTCCCCAACAACTGATATTTAAGTGGCAGACTGCTATAATTTACATACTTCGTTCTGCATCTTTTTTTTACATAATGCTTTGAAGCTCTTCTGTTCCACAAAATATCAGGACTAGGTAGAACACTGAAGAAACAGCATGACCCTTGTAGTTCATGCCCTGGTGACCTCAGATTCCAGGGATGTTGATGTGGAGTTACCCTTCTGCTTTGCCTGAAACTATGTACAGCTAGTGCAAAATATGGCAGCGATGATCTTGAACAATATGCTTCAGGGGTCTATTAAAGATCTTTCTCTTTGCCCAGCCCTCCTCTGACTCCCTGTGCTGACCAGTTTGTGAACTGCCATGTTCTATGTTTGCTCATTTCAAATGTTTTAATTGAGATTTATATAATTATGACGGGTTGTATTTTTATTGGCACTTTAAAGAGGTTTTATTGCGCATCAGCTTCATCAGATGCATCTGATAAGGTCAGCGGCAATTCATGAAGGTTTATGCCAAATAACACTTGTTCGTCTTTAAGGAGCTACAAAACTTCTTATTGTTTTTCCATTTCCATGTCTGTTTTGATTTCTTCACTTTTATTGTAAACTGCTCTAAGATATTTTCCCCTCCAGACATAGTAAGCAGGCTATAAATTGAATGAAGAAATAATAAATTAAAGTCTTGGGCCTGAGTCAGCCTTTCAATTTCTTCCTCATGTTTGTTTTTAAAAAATCACTTGGTTCCCTCAGGTAAATTACTCATTATAGTGTTTAGCGAGTAGCTTGTTAAATCATTCATTTCATTGCTTCTTACTTTTCATTACTTTTTTCACTTACTGAGAAACGAAACTTCAGAATTCATAAAAGAATGCCACACAACTTGAAGGAGTCTTTGAAGGACCTTTTCAAAATGCACTGAAAGAGTAACTTTTTAATAATAATCAAAATGTTACTTGTTATACCAAAAAGTAACTTTATTCCCAACTTTTTATGCCCTCATTACTTTAAAAAAAGGTTACACACTATAGCAAACAACATTATTTGTGTCCTTGTTTCCAAGCTTTGACAGTTACCTTAACATAATGGTAATAAAGGATTTGTTAGTTCACACACATATAAGAAAGCCTTATCTAAAGTTCGTATCCAGCAACCACTGTTAAGCATGTTACTCCCTGCCTGGATAGAAGCCCTCCAAAGGACAATGAGGCTTCAACTTTCTTTTAAAATAATAGCAGGTCTCCCTACAGTACCGAACGCTTCAAGAGTATCAGAAGCAATTTCTGTGTCTAGGGGAGAGGTGATTAAAAGACCTCATGGCCACGAGGAGCCGATGGTGCATCTCTGAATGTAGCCAGTCCCAGAGGAATTACAACGCACCATAGCACTTCTTGCTAACTAGACTTAAAATGAATCAGAACTTTAGAGGTCAGCTTTTAGCTATTTTATAACTGAATGTGAATGAAATATGCTACCCTCTTGTTAGTCATCACCATTGTTTGAACGTTGTGCTGCATATCTCCTGAAAACAATCAGACCATGCTATTTTTTTGAGGTCAAGCATGATTCAGGTCAAATATCAAAGCATCACTGTGGCTATTCAAGCTGGGCACACTGCATGCAAGAAAAAAGAAGTACAGTAACAATGAATATGAAAAGGCACTCATATGCCGATTCATACAAGAGGTCAAAAACCGTCGGCGTCTAGCCCAGATTCATTTCTTTGGTCTGCAGTCCAGACCAGCAGTTAAACCAAAAAAGTTGCAACAGCAGTTGTACAACGTTGAATACCGAGGCAGCAATTCGAGGGAGGATGGAATTCCCCTCCCATCATCTCTTCTCAAAAACCAATGAGAGGTGTAACAGGAATTTACACAGATCAAGTTTCATTCAAAACAACAGACCTTATCTGAAACGATAGTCACTGATCAGTTCCCTCCAATAAGTTTAACTCATGCATTGGTCAGTCAGTTAACACTACGCCACACCAGTCATGTGAAAATAACCCTCTCTTGCATTGTATGCCTGTCCTTTTCAACCTAAAGCAAGAAATTCCTTTGGAAAGAGCTCCTGCTCTCATGATTCTGCAGAAATGAGTAGCACTGCATGGACTAAGTATTATTCACTGCAGTTATCTTTAAAGAACAAAAGGCTGCATTTTTTTTTTTTGGAATACAGAGGTACTGTATAGTAGATCTCCATAAACACTCATTCCAAATTTTCCACAAGCAAAATGTGATCATCACAGCACTTTTCTACTTCAGCATTCTTCTTAGAGACAATTCCATTTCTTTGTTCCAGCTGTCTACTTCTGATCAACAGCTCTGTTTTCTCCCTCAGCCAGAAATTAGAATCCATAAATATTCTTTAAGTATTAATTCCTCAAGAGCCGCCAGGTCACTTTGGTTGAAATACTTGCTCAGTGTTACATCAGAGGGCAAAAGAAAATAATCCTATAATTTGTTTCATGTTTCCAGGAATGTCTTTATAGACATGTATGCTAGTTTTTCAGGATTACTTGCATAATCCATGTAATAAGCAAAAGAACATGGAGTAGATTCCAATACCCACAGAATATTACACATGGTAAACTGCACCCAATCCATGTTACATTTTGTTTACACAGACTAGGCTGTCAAGCTTCATTTGGTCCATGAGAATTAAAAACGATGCCTAAAATATCAGACAAGTTCTGAAGCTTGAACAGAGAGATGTTTCTTCTAAGGACAAGAGACAGAGAAGGGTAGTGTTTGAAGGGCCCAGTGTTTGTGTATGATGTGTGTAAAATGTCCCTTTTTTTCTGCATCCTTCTTGGCCTGCCACTGATGGTAAGGGGACCCCACCATGGCAGGATATCAGTGGCTGCAGAAGTATTGTGTTGTACTGTACCCAGCAAGAACGAGATAATTTGTTGTTGTTGTCAGGAGAAAGGAGCATGGAACAGCAGCAAGCTCCATCTATTATTTCTGGCTGGTTCCTTAATACTGGCACATGGAATGCCAGCTTATCACAGTGTCTCATGTCTTCTTCCTCAATGACTTTATGGCAGGCTTTCCAAAAAAGAGCTTTTTCACATTTGTTTCGGGTAACGCTACCCATTTTTAAAATATTTCTCCTGCACACTATTCATTTATTTTAAACAGCCAAACTAGAGAAATAATGCAAGGGATGGCATACCTGCTGTTTTCTCGGTGAATACAACTTTTGATTCTGCAGTAAAATTCTGGCCGGTTAGGATCATCTGTTGCCCCCCATACACTAGGCAACTGTCAACATCTTGCCTCTCGACCATCGGAAGTTCATGAGCAGAACGTTGGGCTGTAGGCAAAACACAGGCAAGAATGAAACCAAATCTCTCTCTTCTTTATTTATTTCTTTATAACTAGGAAATGTTGGAAATGCCCACAGGGTTTGTTTTGTCACAAGTGCCATCTCCTCACTGCCAGAGGAACTTCTCTAGGAAGCTAAATTTAGGACTGAAAAAAAGGAGGAGGAAAAATAAACTGTTTTTATTTGGAAATAGTCAGGAGCTGGCTCTGATTCTTCAGCTATGTTGGCCTTACTCCTTGTCCCTGACAAAGGAGAACAGAGCTGAATGAGCGGGAGTCAGCCCATGTCTGTTTCCAAGTCAATGGCCAAATATTCAAAAGCAAGTACAGTACAATCCTGGAACCTTAAATATGCCACCTGCAGAGTGGATAACTCTGAATTCAATTCTAAGACATCAAAACCAAGATGTAACTCATTTCACGTTGGAATATGAAGGTTTTCATATTAACTGGGGAAGAGGAATGTATCTACTTACTTAGCCACTTAGATTACATGTGCATTCATACATCATTCCCTACGATGCAAAACAAAATTGTTCCTACATTTCGGAAGCAAAATTACAATACAATACAAATTTATTCTACAGCCAATATAAGCAATAATAAAAACAAAATTGACCCACCACTACAGTACAAACTACTCCTCTTTCTGGGATCAATTCTCAGGTATGTTGGAGTACATGACCTTCAAAATTCTGTCCACCAAAGAGGATCAACCCCCATCCCAAATAGTAATGGAGAATGAGGCATGCGGATGACAGCATCATTCAATTTCCTTTATTGTTACTGTGTTACTGTAAGGCCCATGTTCGCCTTACTTTGGAGAGGGTGGAATTCCAACACTCAAAAATTGGTAAAATGTTACTACGAAATAAATGCATTTAAGTTTTTCAAAACTTGTCCAGTGTTTATTAATTCTTTGTGGACTTTCCAAAAGCATTTAACCAGTGATTAAAAAATCTACTCTTAAATAAATACTTTTGAGAGTGCAGTTCTACATTTACCTCAATTAATCACTGTCGCAATTTTAATTTTTTTGTTTTTAGGGCACTCATATTTTATTATTCACAGTCCCCAAGGATGTCAGTAGTATATGCTGAGATTACTTTAGCAGAAGTTGCTTATTTCTTCCACATGCTAGTGCAATTAATCACTCCCTGTAAACAGTCAAGGTCCTGATGAGTTCATAATTGGATTTACCACTAACAGAAGATTTATAGCTTTGAAAACTCCAGGGTAAATGATATAGAGCAGAAAATAAATAAACTAATGTACAACATTTAAGCAAAAATAGACTTAAATGCTGTCTTTGAGAGCATTTCCACTGATCTGATTCTGAGACAGGACACTTCTGAAGAGAGTTCCAATGTAGTTTGACAGACGTGCTTTCTATATGTACATTCTGTTAAAGACTTCACTTTAGCTAGTAAAACATCTCCAAGATTAAAGCTTATTATTTAGCCACAATTATTTCTGTTTGAGGTGGCAGTACTCAACCTCTTTTGCTGAATTTGGTCTCTGTGAAAGATCATGTTTGCAATTTGGGAGACCTCTGACACTGTTTCATCTCGGGTCCTCGAGTTGCTTGAACTGGCACACCAATTGCAGCCCCTTTGAAAGAAGGAGAGTCTGGCCACAGCTGTATAAAAGTGGAACTTTCCATTCAGACTCCTGTAATACTAGATAGGTAAAGGAGCACCAGCTACCACATCAGCCTCCTAATCTACTAAATTTATCTGCCAATGCCTCCTCAAAGGGCCCCTTGTGAAAAGTAAGGTGTGGTGGCCAGATAAAGTATACTTCCAGTAGGGGTGTTCTATTATAGAATGCTCTCTCTGTGTAAAGAGGTTTGCCAGGTGATTATGCTGCTATATTTTCAGTATTAGACTGAGAAAATTTAATTCTATTATGCCTTATTAGGGCTTGGCTATATGTTATAATACTCCTGGATTTGCATCAGGTTTCGCACATTAGAAATTTATTTTAAAAATTCTATCTACAACATACAGCTAAATGTACTCTCTTTTTTTGGTCCGAAAGTGGGTTATTTTAAACAGCTACAAGTAGGTTGTTTATTTTAACTCAATTGTGAACACAATTTATTTTGAACTGTTTTTGCATGTGTGCTCGCTTGTGTTGGAGTGAACTGTGTCTGCAGGGTTTGCCAAGTATTGGATGCCAGGATCATGGGTTTGGGGCTGCAGGGTAACCTTGTAGTCCACTCTGTTACATTTTTCTGTCTGTAACATTGATCTAGCACTATTTCACTTGAAAAAAAAAACGAATATTAAAACATGATGAGGGACCCAGAACAATCACTTTAAACCCTTATGGCCTGCCTGTTCTTTCTCTCTTCCTCCAGGGAAGTGCAGTGGCTGAGGCAGCTGGCTTCCAGCTATGGAAGGTGAAAGAAAAAGGGAGGGGGCAGCTGTTGCTGTGCCTTGATTGAGGCAAAACCTACATTTTCAAAGTGAGAAGGGGAATGAAAGGAAGGAGGCAACAGCAGCAGAAGTGGAAGAAGTGCCTCTCCCACTTCCTCACTCCCACTCCTCCTCCACCATCAGTACCAGGCAGTCAAACTATTTCTCATCCAGCATCTGTCAAGGCACTGGATGCTGTTCAGCAGTGAGTTAGTTCAGCTCTGCAAAAAGCAAGTAAGCAGGCACGCATCCCTGGATGATTTAATGAAAGTTCTCTCTCTAGGTGTGCATGTAAGTTGCTACTCTCCCCCAGTTTTGTTTTTGAAGTTGTGACAGAGGGAAAGCACCTGAACAACTTTTCTCTTTTTTTAAAATTAAAGACAAGGGGCCCAGAAAAATCAGAAGCTGAAGACCCACAATGCCAATTTGCTTATCAATGCAACAATTTAAAAAAGCCCATGTAGCGCCCTTGAAAAACAAACAATGCCACTTACTACTGGACTAAAAGTTGTCCTAAGAGGACACGCACACAAACTCCCTAACCATGTGACTTTAAACTGACTTCGTAAACCCTGAACCAGCTCCCAATTAACAGAGGCCACAGTTAGTTATATTTGAAATTTTTTTCTAAAATCATATATACCTAGAAGAAAGTTCACTGAACTCACTGGCCTTACTTCTGAGTAGATATGCATACGACTATATTGTTATTCTATTTTTTCTACTGCTAAAACCCCTCTAGTACAGTGGACCCTCTACTTAAGGAATTAATCCGTATTGGAATGGTGGCTGCAAGTCGAAAAGTCTGTAAGTCGAATCTCCATTGACCTACAATGCACTGAAAACCGATTAATTCACTGGCCTTACTTCTGAGTAGATATGCATACAGCTATATTGTTAATCTATTTTTTCTACTGCTAAAACCCCTCTAGTATCCTAAAGAACAGTTATGGTAACACACACACACACACAACACAGAAGAGTTACAGTTTTTGATTAAAACTCCCAGAATTCCACACATTATACCTAGAGAATTTAGGAATGTTGGCTTCTATGAATTGTTGCCCAACAAAATAAGTTTTCCACGCTCTGATTTTTACTAAAATATCATACATGCCAAAGACACAATGATGCATTATAAGAGTTTCTGAATATTTTTAGAAATCATTGTTAATAAATTAAAATTAGGATGATTGTTGGTAAGGATGCCTGAACAGTAACCATCTCCTGCCCCATCCCTAGCCTTCTTTATTCAGAAGTCCTATAACTGCTTGGCGTTTGCAGCCTTCGATTGAAGCATACACGTTACTGATCCCTCTAGTTCAGAGATGTGTATACTCACTGGCAGCTGTCTATTTGTCAATTCTGGAAGAGATAGTTCTACCCAAAATCTTAGGACTTGGCTCCTTCTATGAGCAAAACACGTGATCTACCATTGAGCTACAGCTCCTTGCCTAAATTCAGGCAACCCAATAGCATTATCTTCAGAAAAACAAAAGAAAAAAACGTTCGTTCAACTTTTTTTAAATCTCTACAATGGAATGCATTTGTTTCCCTAAATATATTGTGGACAGTGGAGGGAGCAACAGGCTAGATAGGAGGTTTCCTCAATATATAAGATGCAGTTCAGCACTATGAATATATCTTACATACAATAAGCCCAAGAATGAAAATAGAGTTAATGTAGTCTCCCCTGAAGTCCGTCATCCCATTTAATTTATTTGTTTGAGCTCATGGGTCGCTGCTGAACTGGGCAACAACACTGACATTTGTAATCCAGCAAACAAAGCACACTATACAAATTAAAATATAAAACCAGCAATAGAAGTTTACACTGTGTAAAACAAATGAATAATCAAATCATGAAAGATTATGGGCTGGCCCTGTACACCTAATCACATTTTCCAAAGCAAATTTATTTTAACTTTTGTTTTAATGAATATTTCTGCCCACCAGTAAGAAAGGAGGGAACATTAAATGTCCCTTTGTTAGGAACCCCATCTAGAAATTCTGCCAAAAATCTGTGTCTGGGAAAGTCAGACAATGCAGCAGATCGTGGGGGATGGGCATGGAAATTCTCTACCTGCTAAAGGCCACAAAGAAAAATCTGAAAATGAGCAAAGTATGCACTGACAGCCATGCACATGCTCAACTATGCAAGCACAGCCCACACAGATCAAAGGATTTATACATGCTGTGGCAGACATGTGACCACTATGAACATTCTTGCATTCTACAATCTAGATTCTTTATATTCTACCACCAGTCATTGCCTCTTTAAAGAGAGTGCACTGGAACTCACCCAATAAAGTTAGCAGTGTGATCAGAAGGGGGTGCAGAGAAGGAAACCACAATCCCTATCTATCAGAATTAATTACATGAGATTTACTGATGGCCACTAGCTTAAATGGCTTTTAATAACAAGAGAACCAGAATCATATGGGCTTTTTTTCATGCATGTAAGTGAAAATATGGAAGTCACAGTTAATTAATGAGGGTGCAAGCCATGTATCTGGTCAACTGCTGGTCACACAAACTGGCACAAATTGCACATAAATGGTGCATCATT